CTAGTATTTATTTTTAAAGTACTGTACATTTACAGGTCTTTGTTTGATGGACAGCCCCTAATAGTAAGCATTTTTAGGGAAAAACCTTGCTCAACATTAAAATCACAGTACTTACAGAATAAGTGATACAGGTTAGCAAAATTTAGTATTGTCTGTAGGATTATTTCTGGTGCCTCCTCTTATATCTGTAAATACTTCATTTCACTTTCAAACGACCCCAGTACTCCTGTTGAATCTTATCCTAAAAGTATTTTCTTGAATTCAGATTTTCTCACTTTACTTTGCAGCTCACAGATGACCACTGGCAATTGGATGTTTTGCTGAAACCAAATAAGGATATTTTGAATTTTTATAACTATGTCTATAATTAAAATAGTAACTCATAGCCTAAATTTTCTCCTGTGATATCTGTAGATCCACACAATACTAAACTACAGTTACTCCTGGCTCCTTAAGTGTGCATAGTCAGCTCTTCGCAAATGTCTGACAGCATCTGGTCATCTGCCAACAGACTTAGTAAGAATGTTCTGTGGTCTGAGATCAAATCCTTACTGAAAATTAGTAGATTGTTTCATTTGCTCACCAAGCATTATCACTGTAGTGTGGGAAGAAATTCAGGTTACTGGAGTAAAATTTCTCTTCCATTCTACCTAATACTCGGATGGTTAGTATACTGGGACAACTCGATTGTAGATGGGTCATCTTCAGCATTGATAGTGGGCAGGGCTCTTTGGAGGACTTCCTAGTCAGCAGCAGCAAATGATACTGGTTTCTTCCAGCTTTCTAAGAAGTCTGTTCTCTGGCTGCCATTTCATCCCTGTTTGAACACATTCCTTATTTGAACCTATTCTATCCATCCTGTCACAGGTACTTACTTTATAGTTATGTGATCAAAGGTGACCTATTAAAGAGTGAGGGGAGCACAAAATGAGATAAGCTTCTGATGTTCAGCTTCATGTTCTTGTCTTCCTTTACCATGTTGCAAGTTATGTGTATCATAGTTCCATCTGACTTTCTCTCCCTCTATCTCTCATTTTTTAAAAATTTAGCTTCTCTGATTTTATTTCTTTAAACTCACTTTAGCCTTTCGTGGTAGTGCAAAGAAGGCTAAAGAAGGAGGAGCACCAAGATTTCAAGACCAGCCAGGATACATAGTGAGGTCCTGTCGAGGGGGTGGGTGAGAGAGGGAGAGAAGCAAGGAGGGAAGGAAAATGGAACTTCTCATTTTTCTGGGTTCTTTATTATTTAATTTGCTTTTCATTTGTGTTACACTTTCTGTGTAGACTGACATAGTTACTACATTTGGTTGATTTATGTGAATAAAAAGCAACATAGACCCAGATACTTCAAAACTAATTTGTTTGACTTTAGATTTTAAGATGGTTTTGCACCAGATTTGCCTTACCGTTTGGGTTTTATTTAAGCTGCTATAAGGATCCGTTGACATTGCTTCAGCATGTACCAGCTGGCTGATGGAATGAATAGGCAAGCCTGAAGAAGCTGAGCTAGGATGAAAAGTTGGCCATAGATGATACATAAATGGATCATTGAAATTTGATTGTAGTCTGTTCCTGTGCCCAGAAAACTGTTTGCTTAATGACCCAGCTCTCTTGGTCTTTATTCCACAGATCTTTATATTCTAACTAATTTGTTTCATGAAGAAACTTCTCTAAGATATTAAAAATTAGTGTACCAAGAACAATTTATGTCTGAGTAATTTTTCAATTGTTCAAATTTCTATATGTATTTAGTTCTTATATATTCTCCTATTTGCTTTTTAACAATATTTTAACAATTTACATGTTTCATCATCTGATTAAAAACTACCTTATTTTGAGTAGGTTGGTATTTCAAAATCTGTGATAATTTAAGAATGCAGCCTTTGTGGTAATGTGCAATAGAAACTAGACTTACAGTTTCCTTCCTCAAAAATTCACTAGTGAAAGTTACAGAGGCAATACTTAAAGGTTATGGCAGTGGGAAAACTACCTGACTTCTCCTCAATTTTGAAGAGGGTGATGTTTCAAGGTCAGAATACATGATTACAAGAAATTGCTGTTCTCAATTTGAAAGAAAAGCCCTGCAGAGGGAGTTCATGCAGGAGAATTTGGGGTTGGAAGTAGCAAATGCTCAACACTTTTCAGACAAAATAGGGAGCAATTTTCTTCCATTCCTCCTACCTCTCCAGTATCAGCCTATCCCCAACTTTTCTTTGAATAAATGCAGAAGCAGTGGCAGCTCTGGAAGCACTTCTCCCAACACACACACACATACACATTCTCAGGTTCTCTCTAACCTTTTAATGATAAGAAATTTTCGCTAAAATTTGCTGCATAGATGTTTGTAGAGGAGATTTAGGTACTGTAATATGAAGACTAGAGGATATATATATATATAGGGTTCAAAACATGTATGGAGTTTTGTTTACTTTGTTCTTCCTGATCAATAGCAGTGTTACTTTGGGCAAAGTAATCATTGTCTCTGAATATCATTTTCCTCATGTGTAAACTGGTAATAAGAGCTATATTATCATCTTCAATAGAGTAGGACTCTATGAATGTAAAGCTCGACATTGTGAAACAACTACACATACCTCACTAGCTTCTGTCTGTCACAACCATAAGATTGGGACCTTGCATATATTGTCCGCTGTGGTTTACAACTGAGCTATCTTTACTAATGAGAAGACCTGCTAAAGGCTTGTCCCCAGGTAGTACCTGTCCCTCCTTTTATGATCATCCATCCAGGATACATTAGTTTCACTTCAGGCACTTTTTCTCATGTATATATCTTTTCTCTTTGATGTATTTATGAATCAGAAGACATCCTTAATTATGTCAGGTAAAACTAATAACAGTGTTGGAGATTGCTTTAAGTGAAATCTAAACTAAAGAAAAATCAGAATTAAACTTCATAGCTCTTCAAAGACTCCACAGCATGCCTTCAAGGTTGCTTCAAGATTCTTTAGTATTATTTTCTGTAAATATACTTCATTTCAGCTATATTCTGACTCAAATAAGCTTTTATAGTCTGGACTAGAAACCCAGGAAATGTTGGAATACAGTCTTTATGGGAAAATACATTCTTATTTCTCTGTAATACCTATTTTGTTCATAATTAGGGAACTGTCAAGTTTTTCCTGATGACTTTAACCATTTCGTTGTCATACTGAGAGTATATAGATGGAGCTAAATGTAACTGATGATCTGCTTTGATTTAAAACTACTGTACTCATTTATGGGAAGAGAAGAGGTGTGTTTAGAATATTTGTACCCTTTAATTTTTTTACTTGTATAAGGGTGAATAAAGATCTCTGTTACAGAGCTAGATAAAATAAATTTTTCATGAAGTACTGTATTAGACAAAGTTGCCAGGTCATATCACTATTATCAGTATTGTTGCAAAGAGAAGGATATGTGTAATCAGTTGTGACAGCTTAATGCTAGGCTGTGGAATAAGATCTAAAAAATATATCAGTTATCCAAAAAGATTATTTGAAAATTTAGAGGGTGGTGAAACAGTTTGAAAGCATGAATTACGAATATGGAGGTAAATAGAAAAGAAATGGATTTAAAAAGTTGAAATTGTTTTTCTTCAGTAAGTAGGAAAGGATGAAATAGAGAACTGCTGTATTTTATTGTTAAATCTTTTAGATATTCATCATTTTAAGATGTCTGCTTGCTTCACTTTGATAAAATAAAAAATAATATAAAACTGAGTGTTATGCACAAAATGTTAGTATCATCTGAGAATTATGTAAATAGTATATAGCAGTACTGTGATAGTGTAAATGTTTTAATACAGAATCTGTGTAAATTATCCAGTTTCAATACTTGTGATTATATTTGTAGTTATGTTTTTGAACTGTATTTGTTTCCAACTTCATACCTCTATTTTTAAGCTTATTATTTATGTATCCTCATATTTATATCAGGAATGATCATCTTCCTATGTTGCTAGCCAAACAGTACTTTGCAAAGTTTCTTATACACAGTCAAATCTCAGAATGTGGTTGACAAATAAGTTTTCTTTATTTTCTTAACCATTTTTTAAAAAGTATAACAAATAATATATATTCCCTGTAGAAAAAAATAGAAAATACAGAGATGCAAGTAGAAAAAAATAAACTCATTTTACCATCTTGATAATATCCCTACCAATGTCTTCCAGGCAATTATGCATGCAAATAAATTTAAAATAGTATTATACTATATACATTGTTTTCTTACTGCTTTTATATACTCCATATGTTACGAACGCTAAATATTCCTTCGTCTTCATTTTTAATGATGCCTAATCTTCCACATGTATGGATATACCAGATTTATTTAACCAGTCTTTTATTACCAAACATTTAAATTTTCTGTTTTCTTTCATTGTTAATTTTTAATGAGTGTCCTTGTACATAGTTTTGCACACTTATTTCAATACTTTCTTAGGATAAAGTACAATTTTTAGGCAACAGTTGCATACTATTCTTAAAGGTCTTTATCATGTTGCCTCCTGCAGAAATGTTCTCTCAATCTCAATCCTCATAGTAAAGGAGTACCTGTTCCCCTCCTTCACTGACTGATAAGCAGAAATATTTGTCTTTGTTGGATTAATTGGCATTTCTTTAAATAATAGCAAACTTGAACACTGTAAACATAGGTATATATACACATATGTATATGTATATTTGGCCATTCATGTCTTTGATTATTTTCAAATTAATACAAAAAGTGATACAATTCTCATAGTAAGAATATAAAATTGTATCATATTGCAAATACTTTTTTCTAGTTTGTCATTTCTTTTTTCTTTTCAGTGTTTTTTCCATTCATATAAAAGTTTCTTTTCCATTTTTGCATTAAAAATTGTCAACCATTTAAGAACTTTTTGCCCCAGTGATCATATTTCACAAGTCATTTCCTTTCCTAATATTATATATAATAGAATGAATAGATTTTTGGATTTTGGTGTGGTGGCTGCTTCTCAAATTTCTTCCCTTTTCCCACCAGGAAAGCAATAGAAGAACTGCTAAAGGAGGCAAAACGTGGGAAAACTAGAGCAGAAACAATGGGACCTATGGGTTGGTAAGTTCTTGAATGATCATCCTTAAAAATATTTAAGAAAAAAGTCTTGGGTGGAGATATCAGCATGTGGATCTGTGGCCTGTATAGGAAATGTAAACCTCTGGTGTCAAGGAAATCACCCAGAGGCAAGTGTGGAGGAAGAACACTGCTGAGAACTCAGTGCCAAAGAGCTCTGGCAATGTGAAGAAGGTGGCAGGGTGTATGCAGAGAATGTGTGTGTGATGGTTTGTCATTCCTGTGGTTCACAAGTCCCCAAAACAGGGAAGTACCACTGTGCCCACCAGCCTTCTTCTAAGACTTTTCAGTGTAGCAAGCTCCACCCTAAACAAAGACATTTCTATTAAGTGTGACAGTTTACTTTCCAGAAGCTGAGGGCTAAGGCCAGCCCTCCTTTTAGGCAAGACCAAATTCTTTACTACATAGGCAGTAAATGTGTTAGAGGAGCTAGAAAATCTTGTCACACCAGAAAACAAGGCACCTGACTAACATAGTTGGGTTAGAGAGTCTTGCAAGGCTTTCCACTAGTCAGAGTTCAGGTAATTCAATCATCATCATCAAAAAAAAAAAAAAAAGTTAATTCACCTAAAATATGTTAAAATCCTTAAGGTCATAATGCTAATCACATCCTCCCTTCTGGAGGATGCTCGGGAACCAAATCATTGAATGGTAAATAGAGAGGAAGTATCAAGTATTTATACTATCTCTTGTACAAATTATACCAGAAAATTTCCAAATAATTGGTAAAAGAAAACTTTTCTTCATCAGAACTGTTAGGCAAATGTTCTGCCACTGATCTGCATCCATCCTTTTTCAAAAATATTTTATTTTGAGACAGTGTCTCAATAAGTTGTCCAGAGGAGCCTCCAACTTGTGACCTCCTTTCCTTAGCCTCTGGAGTAGCTGGAATTACCGGAGTATTCTACCATGCCCTGCTTAGACAACTTATTTATAGAAAAATTATAATTAATAAATGTAGAAGGATCATAGAATAAGATTATCATCATTTGAATTGTTAACTCAATAATAAGCCAAACAATTTAAGAATAAATAAAAACATTGAACAGATACTTCACCAAAGAAGACCTGGGATTGACCAGTGAGCCTAAGAAGAAATGTTCAAATCATTACTGTAGCTATTAGAAAAATGCTCATTAAAACCACAGTTGGTTGCTACTACACATGCACTACATGGTGAAAATCAAAAGACTGACAATACCAATCAAGATAGAAATGTGGAGCAACTAGAATTTACAAACATTTTCAGTGGGAATGTAAAATCAGACATCTACTTTGAAAAACATTTGGCAGGGCTCAGTGGCACCACACCTGCCTGGCAAGTGCAGCAAGGTCCTGTGTGTGATTCCTGGTACTGGTGGGAAACAGTTGGCAGTTGCTTCTTAATTTGTACTCACCATACAGAATGTTCCTTTGACAGAGAATTGAAACCTTAAATCCACACAAAAGTTTGTACAGTAATGTTCAAAGAAGCTTTAACCATAAATGCAGTACTACTCAGCCAAAAAAAAAAAAAAAAGAGAAACAGAACTACTGAGATATGCTGCCATGGATGAGTCCCAGAAACATTACACTTAGTGAAAGAAGCCAGACACAAAACACTGCACAATGTATAATTCATGTAGATGACATTCTTTTTTTTGGGGGGGGGTTGTACCAGGGATTGAACTTGGGACCTTATGCTTGTGAGGCAGGTGGCAGAACCACTGAGCTAAATCCCCAGCCCTAAGATGACATTATTAAAAAGCAGAAATTGTAAGGACAGATAGTTGACAAGAGCTAAGGGATAGGAGGAAGGGATTTACTGCTGAATATTCTGTATCTTGATTGTGGTGATTAGTTACAGAACTTCATACACTTGTCAAAAGCCGTAAAACTTTATTTGAAAGGATAAATTTTATATAAATTATACTATAAGAAAATGGATTTTAAAAAAGAAGATGGGCTGGGGATATAGCTCAGTGATAGAGTTCTTGCCTAGCATGCCCAAGGCCCTGGGTTGGATCCTCACCATGAGTGGGTTGGGGGTGTCCTCTCTTAGAAACCCTAATGATAGACTGGATCAAAGCTCATTTGTGGCTGCTACATCTATCAGGTAAGAAGTTGATGCAAGACTTTCTGATGAATGGGTCAGGCTGACCACATCTGATTACACTGGTCAATCTGTATCACAGAAAGATGCAATAAAAATGGCAAACCACCACCCATAGACATCTTTGTCAGGACATTGAACCTAAATCTGATCAAGTCTCAGGTTAGAATTAATGCAGAGAGCAGAGGAACATGTTAAATGACACCACAAGGCTGTAATCACAAAATTCAAAATGTAGGGAATTCTACAGAATTTTCTTTATTGAATGAAAGGATGAAATGGAGAAGAATCCCATGAATTAAACATTTTAGATACATAAAATAAAATGTATATTTTGTTTAGATAAAAAGACACGAAATAATTTGGGATATTTGATGATGTTAAGGAATAGTTTTTAGGCATGATAAAAGTATCGCTGTTATTTTTAAAGCTATTATCTTTTAGATATTTTATTTGTGGGTTAAATTATATAATAAAATCAGACAATCCAGTGCAAGAAACATACATAATTATCTTAGAGTCAGTAAAATACCTAACTTTTTTTTTTTTTTTTAAACTGGGGATTGAACTTGGGACCTTTTGCTGGCAAGGCAGGTGGCAGCTCCTAACATTTAAGAGGAGAAGTTGTAAAAACTTTATTGTGTATGAAAACACTTGGCATATAACAATTAGAAAATATGAGTTAAATTTATTCTTTCCAGCCTTTGTCTGTTCTTTGCAGAAAATATCAGGAAGGTACCTCTACTAATGTGACTCATTAGCACAAACTTTGTTAAGAGCAAGTTAAATAGGACGTCTTTTGTTGTTGTTGTTGTTGTTGTTGTTGTTGTTGTTGTTGTTTTAACATTGTATGGGGATTGAACCCAGGGCCTTTGCACTGAGTTTTATCCCCAGCCCTTTTTGAAAACTTGTTTTTATTTTGAAACAGGAATTTGCTAAGTCACCAGTTACCCAGGCTAGACTTGAATTTGTGATCCTCCCACTTCAGCCTTTCAGAGTTTTGAGATTAAAGTTGTGTGCCATCACTCATGGTTTTGGTGTAAAGCAGGACTTTGATCAGACTGACAGTAGTCATTGGCCTAGTTTAATACCTTTTTGAATGAATGCAGAGCTAATCATGAACTCAGATTATTTGACAGTGAATAAGAAAATATCAATCATGGTTCTTTCTATGTGAAGAATATTCAAGAAGATTACTTTTTTTCTAGGAAGCATTCCAGATGGAAGTCATTTGTTCTGACAAGCTTAGGACCATTTATTAGCTTGGTACAGTTTCTGATAGAATAACTAGTGTATCGGTGCCAGCCCTGCATCCCACGTGGAGAGTTGCCATATGAGCAGACTGTTGTGAAATTTGTAAGGGATATTGATGAGCTCTTTGGGTATTGTTCCATTAGGTGGGCAGTTCCACAGAGTTATTGGGGATTCACATTCTTCAGTTTTTAAATCTCCCACTCATAACCATGTGGCTCTTATCTATAAGATGTAATACAGTAACAGCCATTAAATGTACATTTCTATTAGCAAAAGGAAGAGAAGGAAGGCACACCTTTAGAATACTTGTCAGAATCTGTGTACAACATTTCTACATTAAACTCCATTGGGCAGAATTTAGTCTCATATCTACCTCCAGCTCCTAAGCCAGAAATTTCATGTTTTTCTCCCCAAGCAGCCATATGCTGAATAAATGTCTGGATTTCTTGGTTTGGTTTGGTTTTTGGTGTTTTCTGTTTGTTTTGGTTTTTATTTTGTTTTACTTTTTGTTTTTTCCCATAGAAGAAATGAAGAATAGATACAGAGATGACTAGCGGTTTTCCATGAGGGAGAGAGAATCATAGTGAGTAAGAGAAAATTATGCCAGGCAAAGACGATTTCAGATTTGTAAGAGGTGGGTCCCATGAGAAAAGAGGATTTTCCCTTAGTCTACAAAACCTAATCTCTGCTGTCGTTGTTGTTTCAATTGTCTTATGACAGTAGTTCGTGAACTTTTTTGTCTTAATGTCCTTCATACTCTTAAAACTTACTGAGGGTACTGGGGATTTAGCTCAGTGTTTCTAGCAAGAATGAGTCCTTGGGTTTGGTCTTCAACACCAAAAACTTTTTTAAAAACTTACTGAGGATCCTAAATATCTTTGGTTTATGTGGCTTTTTTCTGTCAATAGAAATATTCAAAATTAAATAATGAAATTTCTAAAGTACTTAATTCCTTTTAAAGAACAATAATAAACCTATTATATGTTAATAGAGCATTTTTGTGAAAAATTAAGTTTTCAAACCTTTTTGAGGTTTGTCGCCTAACATGTGACTTATAGAAAACATATAGGAAGAAACAGGGATTTAGCTCAGTGGCACCATACCTGCCTTGCAAGCATAAGGTCCCGAATTCGATCCCTGGTACCTAAAAAAGAAAACATGTAGATTCTCCTGTTTCTGCATTTAACCTGGTACAGTATGTTATTTTGATTGAAGAATATAAAGAAAATTCCACCTCACAATTGAATTTGGAAAAGGAGTATTTCAATAACCTTTTCACATAATTATAGATATTCTTCCTTAATACTATATCAAAACTTTGCAATTAACTTGAACTATTGGTGGTTTCTTTATATTCTTTTTAGTAATACAAACTTTCCACATTGTTTTTTACAATAAAATCTTTTGGTCTGTATTGTACTTTGGATCCTCTGCTCATTCTTGATTTGTAACATCATCACTGGTCACCTGGAAAATATTGTTCACTGAATCGCAAAGATCTCCCACGTGTTGATTGATACATGTCATTATATAATATTTCAAAACATCACATTTGTAAATATCACCATTGAGCTCTGCAGGAAAGTCTTTTAAATGATGAGAACTTAGCAGGTTCCCTGTTTTCCTAAATTTTAATTTG